GTATTCAAGTAATCTTATATTCCTCTAACTAAACATTATAATTTTACATTCCTATTAAACAAACCAAACAATGTAATACAACATTCACATAATAATTTTGCATTCCAATAATATTATTTCCAAAAGTAATCTTACGTTTTGTGAACCAAACGTTCATCTTACATTCCGTGAACCAAACGCTTACAGAGATGTGACTGAGGGCATGTGTGGACCTTTAGTAATCTGGAATTTTTTTTAAAAGAAACTGAATTTTAAAATTACATAGGTAAAATAAAAATAATAATATGTTTTATTAATATGTTTGTCACGAATATAATGAAGATTAATCTTCAAGGATTAAAATGTTATAATCCGAAAACATAAATAACTAAAATTATTTTTTTAAACTAGTGATTAAAATAAAATAGACTGAAAATGAAACTGCTCATCTGTATAATTTATTTTTATTTATTTTAATTAAAATAATTACATTATTTTATGAGATTAAGTGTCAGATCTTTTATTTATTTTGAGATTAAATAAAAAAATGTTTGTCTTGAGATTTGAACAAAAAAATAGACTACAAAACATTATCCAGTCAATAAAAAATATATTACATTAATGAAAGAAAACATATTTAATTACACATGCTTAAAAATAGAGTGAGTAGTAAGGAAAAAGGACAAATACAAGTTTACCTCTTGTAACCATTTCATATTGCTAACAGTATGAGATAATGTTGGATTTTTTTTTGGGGGGGGGGAACGATGTTCTCTGGAGTTTAATTTGAGGTTCACAAGACTTTTGGGGTGCTTGGTTTTCAATGGGAAAGAGTGTATTTTAAGTTGAACCCACTTTTGTTCGTAGAAATACTCAACAATACTTGAACTACTGTAGAGTAGAGTTGAGATTTCCCCTTGAGGTATTCTGTTTTACCCTGTTAAGGCCTATGAAATCAAAATGTTATTTTATTTTGTGTCCGGTGCAAACTTTCATTGATTATCATGTGCTAACCGTCATCGGATATGCAGTGAGAGTACTTATTCTCTTCCTCATCATGCTATCCTTGCTATGCTGTTAGACAGTAGTATATAAGTATACTAATGGTTCTACGATGGCCCCAAACTGATTTTGTCTGTAGCACCTGATGAAATCAATGTTATTAGATACGCGTTGTCTCTGGTGCAAGATTGCATTCTTGACAGACTTACCCTACTTCATATCACTTTCTCGGAAGACAGTTTCTCTAGCCTTTTTACAGTAGATGGTTAGACATTTAGATAGAGAAATGCTTCAGGAAATTTTGGATGCGTATAATTATCTATAGCTTTGCCTTCTTATGTTCTAAGGTATTTTTTTTATTTTGAGGTCCTTCAGTGCAGGTATGTCTTCAGCGGTGGAAAGGAACAATGTGGACAACAACAAACCCGTCACTCGGGTTCTCTTTTGTGGACCACATTTTCCAGCTTCACAAAATTATACTAGAGAATACTTTGAGAAGTATCCTTTTATCCAAGTACTTCGCTCAAATTGTCCTGCTTATGTACTTTTTAGCTATAGAATATGCTCTTAAATAAATGTTAAAGCACGACCAAAAACCAAACATGCACTGATGTCCAAAACAATCAAACATATTTCTTGTTTTTTCCTTTTCTAATGGAGTTGAACCTTTTTCATATTGAGCTTCTCTAAATTGAACTTCTTGTAGGTTGATGACTTGCCCCTCAAGCAAGTTCCTGATCATATTGGGAATTATGATCTTTGTGTTGCAAAAAACATGCGGTTCGATTCAAATGTCTTGTCTCGTGCAAAACAGATGAAGCTTATAATGCAGTTTGGTGTTGGCCTAGAATTCTTTTATTACGATGATATTTCTACATTAAATCTTTTTCCATATTACATTTTCTGCATTAATTTTTCATTTTCATACTTTGGCATGAAGGTGTTGATGTTGATGCTGCTACAAAGCATGGGATAAAAGTTGCCAGAATTCCTGGTGGTGCTACTGGAAATGCTGCATCTTGTGCCGAAATGGTTATATATCTTATGTTGGGCCTTCTTAGGAAACAGGTTTATTTAATTTATTAACTTAAAAATTACATTGCTTCTCTAATATTTTCATATGATAGTAGTTAAACACGAAAAATAGTTTACTTTATGTTAATTGTGAGGTTAGTTCACTATGTTCTCTTATTTGTCTGATTTGTGCATACAATTGAAAGCTGTGTCTGGATTAAAAAACATGAAAGAGACTTTGCAATGGAACTTGATTATCATTTTAATAAACCATGGTCAAAATGCAGTAGATTAAGCAACTTTTGGAAGAGAACAATAGCCTTATGAACCATTATGAGATCGATGGCCATTAACTGCTAGACTAGTTGTGTCTTTGTTCCTATTCCCAGAAAATTTTCATCAAGCCTCGAAATTAAGGTCGTTCGATAATATTGTAATATGAATAATTCGATAAAGCAGTCATACCTTGCATTTCAGCTAGACAGCAACTCATGTTTGTAGTTTTTTGTTTAATTAGATAGTATTTTGTTCAATGCATTTAGTTGTATGGTGACTTGTCACTGATAATATACTCGATGAGTGATCGTTTGAACTTCATAATTTGGTTGTATCAGGCCAACTGAATTGAATACAAAAAAAAAAGCTTTACCATACCATGGCATAACGGTTAGTGTAAATTAGTTTTCTTTCTGTCATGCCAAAGGAGGACAGAAACAGAGGCAATAATTTGACTTGGATTCAGGCATGAAACTAAATATTTTCTGTGATAGGAAATTTGACATTTAGTACTGGGCATAATCAATACACTGTTGATGTATCTGGTTTGCATTTTTTACTTGGAACTGGCAATGTCTTAAGGAGACGTCAGTTAAAATTGATCTTATCCGTGCATGGTAAAGGACTAAGAGAATCAATCTGTTTCAATTTGTTTATTCGAATATAGTAAAGGACTATGACAAATTGAGAATTAATCTGTTTCAACTTGTTTCTTCAAACATTTGTATTTACGACCTTAATCCTTATTTAGACTCCTCAAATTTTGTTTTCTTTTTCCTTTTTCCCGGCAATGAAATTGTGGTTTGATGATCTCGTTTTTCAATAATTGTAGGCAATGAGATCTTAATATGATGCTCTCGTGTTTCAAATCATCGTTTCCAATGATTTTTTAGTTTAATTTTCACTAATCAGCCTGCTTGTCCAGATCTTTATACTGGGCTTTGGAAATATTGGAATTCAGTTGGCCTAGCGCCTAAAAACATTTGGTGTTAAAGTTATTGCTACAAAAAGGAGCAGGCCCTCAACTTTGGAAGTTACCCCAAAAGGTATAGAAGATTTATTAAGTAAATAGTGAAACTAAGTTGCAATGGCATCTCATTCATTATGGTCTCGAATATTCAGCTTTTCCAAGTCAAAATGAGGTCATTGGTGATTTGATTGACAAGAAAAGCATTCATTGAGGTATTTATGAGTTTGCAAGCAATGCCGATATAGTTGTCTGTTGCTTGAGTTTGAATAAAGATACAGTAAGGCTTCTCCTTTCCTTCTTTACTTGAAATATCCGCTTTCAAAGAAACGTTAAGGCTACAAAGCTTACTCTCCAAGCAAATTTCATACAATTAGGATGTTTCAAATTTTCAGGTTGGCATTGTGAACAAGTCCTTATGTTTGTTTCAAATGCACACCGTAATTCAGGAGAGAACTGTCATTGTTTTTCTTTAAAATGCAGTCATAGCCATGAAAACATGAAACTGAACGGCACAAGTTTTTTTTCAAAACGCATGTTTTCGTAGCATATATTTAGATACTACCTCTCTTCTGTAACCTTTCGATGTTTAATTGGATGTTTGTGCTAATAATAGTGTGATATTCAGGGAGCCCTTTTGGTGAATGTTGCTCGAGGAACTCTTCTAGACTATGAGGTAGTTGTGCATCATCTCGAGTCAGGACACTTGGGAGTTGGGAGGCTTAGGAACTGATGTTGCATGGAGAGCCCATTTTGAAATTCAAGAATGTAATACTGACACCTCATGTTGCCGGGGTTACCGAACATTCTTATCGAACCATGGCTAAGGTATGCATCTTAGTTATGCTTTTAGATTTTTAAAAGTAACATGAATTTTATTTTTCACTGCAAAGGCATTAAAGCCGAGAAAAAGAAGAAACTCGGTATATGAATTGTCAAATTTATCCAACTAAAGTAGGGTTTCAGGTATTTGTTTCACTCGCATCTTCATCTTCATCATTGTGACTGCTTGTTTTGTTATTTGTTTAATGTGGATTTCCAAGTATAATTGCTGCTCATATTTTGCTAATTTCAGGTTGTTGGTGATGTTGCCTTACAACCTCATGCTGGAAACCCTTTCACAGGGATAGAGTTAGTAAATTAGTTGACTTCGAATCGAACCTAAAATTTTAATGTCCGTTTTAGGTTCAGTCAATCATTGGAAACTTGTTATTTCGATTATCAAAACAAATCATGTCATGGAAATTTGGGATATCCCCGATTTATTTTCAAAATAAAGTTACTTGTTTGACATTTGATCTTATCATTTTAACATCATAAAATTTCTCAACTTTCAGAAGGTAGCGTTTTAGGCTGATTCTTCATCTGGAAAAGGAAAGACAACTGATAAGTGAAGAGAAGTAGCGTAACTTCTGATACCATTATCGAGAAATTATTTCATCAATCGTCGTGAAATTTCAAGAGCCAAAGGACACATTCCTTTTACAGAATATACATGAATAAAAGAAACAGTTACATACATGTATCAAGTAGAAACTTAGGAACCATGAATGTTGTTATTCTCGCTGAAGATGTAGTCCAGCATTCACTTGCAAGCATCTTCAAGTAAGTCTAAAACCTGTTAAAGCAATGGACAACATAACACAAGAGGCACAGTAAGATAACAAAAAGGCGACATTACTCGATGTCGTTTAGCTAATCAAGAACTAATAGTAAAGTATACATGTCAAGACGTACCAACTTCCAAACTCACATGGCAAGATATTTCCAGTCATCTATACTCTCTAGTCGTATCCCTGTGTCTTGACAATAATGGGAAAAATATTTGTAAAAAAAAAGAAAAAAGAAAGAAAAACACTGGCAGAGCCTGAAATAGATAATTTGTGTAAATACTGTAGTGAATTTTTTTCGCAGAGCATTCAATTTCTAGTACAGTGCTGCTCGCAAGATTGGATGATTGTTGTACTTTTGAAGACTCAAATAGCTCAGAAGCCAAAAAGATGTTCCTTTTCTCACATTGTCCTAGAAAACTAAAACATATCAAACTCCATATGGTCTTCAGTAACCTGCAATTCGCCACCTTTGGAGCTGTCATTTCTCTGCAAAGCTGGCGTTGGCACACAGATGCTGGTCTCGCATAACCTTGGCATCTCGGGTGGTACCGTGCATCGTATCAGAGCCCAATTTAGGCCTCCAAAGAAAGGATGCCGTTTGATCTCTGCTGCTCCTTTCACTGATCCTAACCGGTTCTCAGGTTCCTTAACTAAAAGCCCTCTTATCAAATCTCTTGCATGAAAACTAACTATAGGGCTGGCAGGAAATCTAAGGTTATGTGAAACCACATTGGATAGTGTTTCATCGTTTCCTGAACCCCTGAAAGGCGTTTTTCCGTACAAAAGCTCGAACAGAAAGATTCCGAATGTCCACCAATCAACAGCGTTCCCATGACCTTCACCTTTGATGATTTCTGGAGCAAGGTATTCATGTGTTCCAACAAATGAGTTTGACCGGGCACTGGTTGGCTCCACTACAATCTGTGGCATGGAGTTAATCTGAGTAGCTAGGTCAGATTTTATCCTCCTTGACTTGGAAGCAAGTGATAGAAGCCTAGGAGTGAAGCATGGAACTTGAAAGGATGGATTTAGGCAGAAAGGCTCAATACAGCTGGACTCGGAGCATGTACTTGACATCTTCTCTGCAGGCTCAGCAATGGGTGAAGCAGATTTAAGCAGCACTGGATTGGCATCACATCTGAATGACAGGTCAAAATCCGTAAGCATGATGTGACCATCTTCTCTAACCAAGATATTTTCTGGTTTTAGATCTCGATAAACAACACCAAACATGTGTAGGTACTCCAATGCAAGGAGGACTTCAGCACCATAAAACCTGCATGAATGAAAAGCAAAAGTAGGAAGAAAAACATCAGAAAACCAGAGAAACAAGAAACCGTCGATGAACCAAAATAATGTGATTCAAATTTAATTCTAACAATCTTAATCATGATTAAAACCTCGTATATCTAGTGTTCTGAACCTGACTTTAAGCTCCATCACTTGCATGGCATCCTCATGAACAAAAACAATATCAAGGAATCTTAATTTAAGAATTCAGATTTACTCCCTATAAGTTTCCACTTAAAATAAAGAAAGCTTTAACTTGAGTGGAAATTTTCGATCCTGTTCTGAGGTGCATGAGTTTTCATGATGAGAACTGCCTTTTTTTTCTTTTCTTCCTTACCTTTTCCTTTTTGCTTCAAGGTCGAAATTACCAAGGACTAAATGACACAGAATGAGTACTAAGATGCTTAGATCTTCAACAAAAAAAAAAACGGGGACAGCATTTTCTCTTCCCTATTTTCCCGTATGTCCTACTGGTTGTGCATAATCAGAAACATATAAAATTAAGAACAATGTAAAATGCACACTAAAGCTTCTTGTCAGCACAAACTAGAAGCATATTCTAACATCATTAAAGAGAGAGATTCTACCTTACTGCTTGTTCAGAGAAACTCCTGCCAGGCTGCTTCTGTCGTAACACATGCAAATCTCCACCGGGACAATACTCCATAACCAAGCAAGAAAGTTGTTCTGTCGCAAGATAGGCATATAGTGTGGGGAGAAAAGGATGATCCAGCATTTGCATTATCTCCTTTTCTGTTTGTGCCCTAGGAATCTTCCTGTGGTTCAACAAAAATTCATTGTTCATCACTTTCAAAGCAAATAAGCAATTTGTACTGATTAGCTCAGCAAGATAAACGGTCCCAATATCCCCACAACCAAGCTTCTTGAGAAGCTTGAAGTGATTCAAACTCAAGCGTCCATGCTGCTTCCAAACGGAGCTAATAGCTTCCCACCTCAAATCTTTTGACATGTGAGGTCTGCTACCTATCCGACTAGAACCAATGATATTGCTTTCATCACTAGTGATTGTGCTACTACTATACTCCCCAATGCTACTTTTCGAGCTCTGGGAAAACTCTCCCTTTTCCCTTGATCTTGATCTGTCATCAGCTTCGAACAACAATGCTTTGGATTTGTAACTACAGTTTGAACTCAAAATCGATTTGAAACTTGTACCCACCATGCTTGAGTTAACTTCAGTGCCGCAACTTGTACTGCTGCAAACTCGTGAAACTTTCATGTTTTCCTTTCTTTCATTGCCTGAAGGCTTCTGTATTTGGCTATCTGAATAAGTCGTACTAGGACAGAGATCATTGCCGAAACAACCATTACAGGAATTGGAACTGCTGGCAGTAGTAGTTGATTCCTGTTTTGCTTTCTTCCTTATAAAGCTTTTGTTCCTCAAGAATGGCTTGATTAGACGTGGATTTTCACAAATAGATTTCACCTTACAAGCAGCATTAGAAACAGGAGGAGATTCAACACAAATCGAGAGAGAGGTACAACCAATCTCCTTGGCTTCCTCAGCAGCATGATTAACAGCAGAAGAATCTATAGAATTTAGTCTTTTAAGTTCTGCTTCTGACACTTCATTTTTAGACTCCATGCTCAAAGGAACAGCCCGATCTGGGACCAGAAATCCGGTGGTTGCCTTTTCTGTTGTTGCATTATCTGAAGGACTGGAATTTCGGTTTAAAATCTCAATGTTTGAAAGCTTCAATGATTCAGGCATCTTTTCCAAAGAATTGGATGTACTCTTTTCAGGAACAAGTGGAATTTCCACTAAATTCCCTTTACCTTCATTTAGGGTAACTCCTGATCCATTATTTTCAACTACTACAGCCCTGTACAACCTTCTTATAGTTCCTGCTTCCGAGATCCCTGATGAACCTGCTGGTTTTGATAACCGTTTCTTCATAACAGCCATCTCGGATGCCTGAGAGATAGACAACCCTCTAAATGCCTGCTTCAAACTCATGGGTTCAGAAATTCCAATTCCCGAAGCGTGAGAAGAACCAACTCTAACTGGTCTTTTCATTGCACGCTTCCATAAAGCATCTCTACCAACATCCCTTGAGAAACCAGAAACCCTGGATGATGTCCTACCATCGATTGTTTCAAACAGACAGTTAATGTCATCCTCAATGGAATACTTATTTCCTGATTTTTGCAAATAGTATATCTTACCAGGCTCTTCAGTTTTCAATTCAGCATCGATTTCATCAGTCGATTCAACAATTTCTGAAGTACTAGGCCCTACATCCATCTCTTCTAAAATTCAACTCAAAGACTAATACAACAAGAAAGCAGGGGAACTAGATCATCTGCAAACTTACTCTATCCTATTTCGGAAGAAGTGTCTATATCTCAAAGAATGAGTAGAAACAAGCAATAAAACAATCTCACTTGTCCCCCAAGATAACCATGGATCATTACGGTTCTTGGCTTAAGATAGCCAATCGAAACCCCCACTTTTAAATTTCAAAACACAGAGTTCAAGTTCCACAATGTATCACAAAGTTTGAGAGAAATAGAGGTCATAAAAAACATCTGTCGTTGACGAAGAAAGGTCCTGCAGCATTCCATGAAAAGGTGTGAGTAATTAATTAACAAGCAACTAAAAGTTCATCAAATAAATTGTCATAAGTACTACCGGGTTCCTTGCCCCCCCCCTCTTTCATTTTCAAAATCAAAGAAGCTTAAGGCTACCGAAATCCTAGAGCACAATAAAACTGTATCAACAACCGACTTAAAGTCAAATACTTTAATTACTGTAAGCCATGTTTATTACAAGCTTTACATTGAGTTTCAATTGAAATCCCAATCCCATACCAGGGCTTTTGGCTTAAAGAAAACAACCAACCACCATGTGAAAACTCCAAATTTCACATCTAAAAGGAGCATAAAAGGTGAAGCTTTCAACTCCAAAAGGCAAAACTTAAAAGAATAAAATAACTTCACCTCAAACAGAAGATACCAAACTCTGAAAGTGCATAGATATTTCTCGTAGAAGAATATGAACAAAAAAGTAAAGCTTGGTGAGAGTTAAAACTCGAAAACCCCAAAACAGATAAAGATAAAATTATCAAAGGGGTGCCTATGAAACTGAGAAATACGTAGAACCCAGAGAAGGGTTGCCTTTGAAGATGCCATACAAGAAAATGAATGAAAATGCCAAAAATTTGGAGACCTATGTAGAGATAAATGACATAATTAGGGTTGGGACAAAAGGAGGGGAAAAGAGAGGAGAAAAAAGAAAATTGTGAATTGAACGAATGAAGATAGAGGGTGGGAAAGACAGGCAAAGTTAGATAAGCTACTCACGAGAAATTTCACCTTGTTCACTCACAGCTACGACCTACTGCTGCTCTACAATTTCTTCTTCTTTTTTACTCTGTAATGGCCGAAAATCAAAATAAAAATGTGTGATGATAAATACAAAACATAAAAGTACAACACGAGAAGAAAACAAAAAAACAAAATAACATTTGTGCATGAAATCCGAAATGTTATGTTATGTGGGTGGCATGCACTTGGATCCAGGAGAAGCAATATGATTGTCCACAAAGGGAATATTAACAAACAAGAAGGACAAAAATATGCAAAATCAATCAAACTCCGATTCTGTGCATGTTCTTTCAACAATGAATAGTCAAAGCCTCTGTTCATTTTTCAACCCTTTATCGTTTCCTTATAAAGTTGAAAAGCTTTGCCACCTACTGGCAACTACTACTACTTTTGCATTTCAAACTCATCATGTCATGTCGTGTGATCTCTATTTTTTTAACGTACTTGATTAATTTGTGATTATAATTTAATTAATAATTTAAAATTAAATTATTTTTAAAAATATTAACGAAAAATCTCATTCTATTAACTATACGGATATAGTGACGATACTTTACAGTGAATTTGACTCGCTTAATCTGGATTATGATTCATATATACATATAGTGAGGATAACACGGCACAATGATATAATCAAGAGCGGGAATGTTGATTCAATAGCTTTGTAGTAATATTTACTTTATTTACTCGTTTGGTAAATTCCTTTTTTCTTTTTAACTATTATCATTGAACTTTGACTGAACAGGCTAATTAATCATTGTCAGTAATGGGGTTGAACGGGCGGCAATTTCTTTGGAAGGGTGGCTTAGAATACCTGTTTTGGGTTTATTATTTGGCTTAATACCAAAAGAAGTGTCTAAATTATCCAGTTTGTTACGAATGAGTGTGTAAACTATTTTTTTACTCATTCATGTGTCTAACGTTAGAAACGTTATCACTTTAAGTGTTTTGATTCTAACTTTTGTTAAAAAACTTGTTAAGTGACATGTGTTATAATCTAGTAATTTTGGAAATTTATTTAAAAAAATACTTAAAAATATTTTATTTCAAAAAGCCACAATTTTTTAAAAAATATAAAAAAGCCCCAAACTATCTAAATCTCTTATTCTAGTCCCTTTACTCCAACCTTCGGTCATCTTCGGCCACCCGTACATCGCCGACCACCCACTGACCGGTCATAACCCTTGTTATCATCTCAAAACCCAAAATTTTCAAATTTCTAATCCCTAAAATCCAAAATACCCAATCTCTTAGATCAATTGTAGTAATTGACCTTTTATCTTTTTGTGGCAGCCATCCCCTTGGCCATATGGTCGGCCGTTTGAATTTTGGCCGTTTGGGCATGGAAAACTAAAATCACGAGCACTGTATGGGAAGGGAGGGGGAGGGGATTTAATAGTACTTTTATATTTTTTAAGAAAAATAAAAAAAATCAAAATTTTAGGAGTATGAGACATGTAATTTAACGGGGTTTTATAATGACAGATATGGCTGAGGCACCTGAAGTGGTAATGTTTGTAATGTTAGGGATATAGATGAGTCAAAAAATAATTTAAGCACCTATTTGTGAAAAAAACAATATAATTTGAGTACTTATTTTGGTATTAAGCATTATTATTTCCCCAAACTATTAAACATTTTTTTAAAAAGGTAATTCACACATTAATTTAAAATCAAATTTTAAACGTAAAAAAAATAAATAATACTAATATATGTACTCACCTTTGTTTTTAATTCTGTAAATTCAAATTTAGTGTTTTAATTTTAAATAAATTTTAATGTTAAAGCTGCATTTCAACTCGCGAGTCAATTAAATTTAGTCCTTTTATCTAACCAAGATGGGAAATAATTTTAGTGAGTATTAGAAATATAGATCAATGAACGTTTTGCCATATAAAATTTATTTAAGGTTTAAAATTTAATATTTAATTTATAAAAACAAGTGGAAATTAGTTTTTGAAAAAACTTGTAAATAACACCTGTATTGAACAGGTACTACCTGAACTTCACATCCAACCCCAACCCATAAAGCATATAGATCATAACTTGCTTTAATCCAAAAATTCATAATTTCAACCGAATTGTTAATTTTCTTCAACTACATTTTCAGAATAAAACTAAAACTTAAAAGATCAGATAACAATATCCAACTAGAAAGCAATGAACACGACAAACCATGTAGCACTTAAAATAAAAGTAACAGCTGCATAAGAGAAGTCTTGATATTTGCATTACTTGCTTAATCAAAGAGGCTGAAACCCATATCCTGTAACAAAAAGGGAATAATGTGAGTAAAGAATACATGAATAAAGAAATCAATTACGAGTAGTAAATTTGTGTGTAAAATAATCATTACATCATCCGACTCTTCCTTCTCTTCGACCTTCTCCTCTTTCTTGGCCTCGACAGCTGGTGCAGCATTGCCACCACTGCCACCGGATGTAGGAGCAGCAACGGCAGCACCACCACCACCTGAAGGAACTGAAGCCAACTTCTCCCTTCCAGATGCAATTAGCTCGGTGATATCTTTTCCCTTTACTTGGGACAATAGCAACTCTATCCTATCATCATCAGCCTCAGCTCCAACTGCAAAATACATAGTAAAAAGGTTAAGCCATAGCTGCCTAACTGCTAGTTGGCGTTTCAATATTTAAATTTGGATTCTCAAATAAAAGAAGTATGGAATTGCATAATAGAACGCATGTTAAATCGTGACTTGAATTCAAATTTCATGTTTTTATACCTTTGAAGTGTAATCATTTTGAATCATACCAAATTTATATGCATTTCACTTTTATAATTCATAGCAAACGAAATCAAAATCCGATTTCAAGATTCATGTTTCAAAATAATTCTTCTATAATTTTAGTTCTAGTTTCTTGAGTTTCATTACGGTTTTAATACTTCCCTTTACTATTAGGCTAATATTTTACCATTTGCAATTGTAGATTTGACTAAATTCAATAAAAATCCAACGAACGCATAATAATAACAAATTAACAAATCACAGCTGAACTAAATAAAGATCAATGGAGTGAATATCCTTGGATCAAATATAAGAGGTATAAAATATAGTAAATCGAGATAACAAGAGAGTGAGAAAAATACCAGATCCGAGAATATCCTTCAGATCTGCGGCAGAAGGGCTAAGGTTCCCTCCCAAGACGGCGAGCAAATAGGCAGCGATTACCTTCATTTTTTATTCAACCAAATAAACCTTAGAGCCAGAAGGGAAAATGAGCCGCGGGGGAAATATAGGGTTTTGTGAGAAAGAAAATGAAGATATATATTACAAATGCGGATGCTGCTAGGGTTTTTTCTTTGGATAAAATACATCGTTAACATCTCAAACTATCTTCTCACTCCTATTTTGATTACCAAAATTTTAAATTTTAAATTAAATCACTCAAATTTTAAATTATATCTATTTTATTTCATAAACTTATTTTATTAATATTTTTTATGACATGACATTTATTATTATTATTATTGTTATTATTATTGCCACATAAGATTAAAATAAAAATAATAAAATTAAAACCTTAAAATCATACTCTATAAACCTTTAGAGTCAAATCCTAAACTTTAAATTTTAGACTCGAACTCTAAATTCTAAATTACAACTCTTACTCCCATCTTCACTCTCGACGATTACACCTCCCATGTATTGTACCTCATCAGCGTGCATGGCTTATCATGTAATTTGAGAGCTATGAGCGAGAATTATAAAGCTGATGAGTAGTTGGATTTTGTTGCTTGGACTCTAACAACAAAGAGTAACATGAACGTCAATATTTGTCCAGCTCATCTTCAAAATTTAGTAGCAAATTTTTGTTATTGGAGTTATTATTGAGCGAGAAATATTATCGACATGTTGTTGGGTATAACAAGCCTGTTGAGTTTGCCAACATTGCTTGGGGTCAAAGGGTTTTCCAAACATAAAATTCTTTTGACGGTTATGGTTTACTTCAATTTGGTCCGCCAAAAAATACAAATTGGTAAAATCTATAAAAAAAAATTATGATGCTCAACGAGTATCGATGAGTATCACTAATGATGAGCACTATTAATTTAATTTATAAAAAATTAAATTTTAAAGGATTCAACGTATAATTATAAATTAGTTGAAAATTTAAAAGTAAAGTATTTAAAAAAAAAGAGAAAATAACCTCATTGACAAAAAATGTTTTATAATATACGATTTTAACCAACTTTTTTTGGATTTGCCAAAATGACCAACTAAATCGCAATGCGATCGATAATTCGTAACGTGATCTTCGGTATCGCAAATCAGTTTCCAGATTCGCAACGCGAACTTCGACTATCGCAATGCGAACTTCGACTATCGCAACGCGAACTTGAACTATCGCAATGCGAATATGTAAATCGCAATGCGATAGTCGACTATCGCAATGCAATTTACATATTCGCATTGCGATAGTCCAAGTTCGCATTGCGATAGTCGAAGTTCGCATTGCGATAGTCGAAGTTCGCATTGCGAATCTGGAAACTGATTTGCGATACCGGAGATCGCGTTGCGAATTATCGATCGCATTGCGATTTAGTTGGTCATTTTGGCAAATCCAAAAAAAATTGGTTAAAATCGTATATTATAAAATATTTTTGGTCAATGAGGTTATTTTCTCTTTTTTTTAAAAATACTTTACTTTTAAATTTTCAACTAATTTATAATTATACGTTGAATCCTTTAAAATTTAATTTTTTATAAATTAAATTAATAGTGCTCATTATTAGTGATACTTATCGGTACTCGTTGAGCATCGTAATTTTTTTTATAGATTTTACCAATTTGTATTTTATGGTAGACCAAATTGAAATAAACCATAACCGTCAAAATAATTTTATGTTTGGAAAACCCTTTGACCCCAAGCAATGTTGGCAAACTCAACAGGCTTGTTATACCCAAACAACATGTCGATAATATTTCTCGCTCAATAATAACTCCAATAACAAAAATTTGCTACTAAATTTTGAAGATGAGCTGGACAAATATTGACGTTCATGTTACTCTTTGTTGTTAGAGTCCAAGCAACAAAATCCAATTACTCATCAGCTTTATAATTCTCGCTCATAGCTCTCAAATTACATGATAGTCGACTATCTCAATGCGAATATGTAAATCGCAATGCGATAGTCGAAGAATTTTCTCTAAAAAGATAGTATTCGCGCGGATGTGTCGAAGACACGTATTACCACGACCACGACC